TAGGGAAACCTCAAGAGCAGCAGTTTCTAGTACTTTATCCATGAGACCATCTAACATTGCTGGTAGCTGAGGACTCTCTTGCTCCCACAGGTCTGGCTGACTGAAGTGAGAAGTTTTAACGGTCCCTTTGGTGCCTTGCTGGCTTCAGTGTATTGTTGCTTGTGGGTCAGCGAAGGTCCTGTAGGGCTGCTCTAAAATCTATTGAAATCAGTGGATTATGCCTCTGCTTCAGACAAGAAGTAGAACTTGGATTTTAGATTATTGCACTGTTTGTCTTTAGACTGGACAAGACAGCACCCTTGATTTTACAAAAGGGTTTGGCACTTACAGTGGTGTGGGTAGAAGACCTTTGGCCCTCTGAGGCTTTGCTCATTGTGGAACTTGAGAACAATTTGTCTTTGACCCTGATGAAGACATTTGGGTTGTGTTGCCTGCATATTAAGGCAGGGAAGCTGTGGTGTATGTTAACTGGTTGTATTGGCATATGTTTGGATTAAATGTTGAGGCTGTTTACAGGTGTTTACGAGTCTGAGCTGGACGGCAGGGAATATAATAACTATCTGTAAGGTTACTTTGACCTTACTAATCTCATTAGTATGGAAATAATGTAAATTAATTACTATTTATCTGGTGGGAAAAAAAAAACTCTAAAGGTATTATAGAATATTTGACCCTATGTATCTTTAATTGAATAAGTAAATAAAAAAGCTTGGGTCATAAAAGGACTTATTTGACGTAAGATTCATTGGAATGGTCCGCTATTCATCTTTTCCTCCTAGAGCTAGGAGATGTGCGTATGAGATACATAACCAATTGCTAGCAAAGTTTTGCTTTGCCCAAGCACTTCTCTGATTCTAATCATAAAAAATGTTAACATTGTCTCTTGCTTTCTGCTGAAGTAAGCATGTACCTCTCTGTAATGTTTCTCATGTGCATGCCCAGCATTGAACCTTGCAAAAGTAACAAGTGTTATTTGAGTTGTTTCTAATCTGAAACTAATCTGAGATTCAACAAAGCATAACTGGTCAACATCTGCAGAGAGTAATCCTATCCTCAGAGCCCAGTGGTGTTCAAACCTAACAGCCATAAGAATTTTTCTTCTCTAATTTCTCTTATACTGACTGTACAAGTTCTGTAGCCACACAGAGTGACTGTTAGTGTGCATTTGAGGTGGACAAGTAATCTTTTTCATCAGAAAGATATAAAAATATACGCAGAATATATTCAATTTTAATTACTCCCGGGCAAGAATACTTCCTATCAAAACTGCCAGATTGTATGCATCTTTTTTTTCCACTACATTAATTATTTACCTTCAGTTTTAATAATACAGTCAAAGGCACTATATATAGCTTATGCTCTATCAATAAATCATGCTTGTGCGTCTTCATATTTATCCTATAAATTGTAAGTACCAACACACTTGCATGGATCTGCTAGGCTAATCTAGCAAAGGAATTCCCACTAGAGCATCTGTAAGAGTCATTGGAGGTGAAGTCAAACATTCCTCACTTAAGGAGAGCTATCTTACAAGATTTTAAAAGCTCTTCAGTCACATCACAAGCCCTGACAATCTCCCTTATGCCCTTCTTCTAGCTTGTCCCCAGCCCCTAGATTTACATACCTTTCTGGTAGATGTCGTTGGTCTTCCAAAGCAGAGTGGAGTATGACATCCTAAGACCATATGCTTTCTCTTTGGGTTGTAAAATGGAAGAGATAAGAACAACAGAGACATTATGGCAGTGGCCTCTGTCAGATTAGAAACGGTAAATCTGTAAAGGCACCAATATTATCTATCCTTTGTCCAAGAGACCATCTAACATTGCTGGTGGCTGAGGAATCTCTTGCTCCCACAGGCCTGGCTGACTGAAGTGAGAAGTTTTAACGGTCCCTTTGGTGCCTTGCTGGCCATTGCAGAGATGATAAATAATAGGATGAGTTGTCTAAGAAACAGGTGGCCAAGGAGGCAGATAGTCTTGGTGGTTTGTTGCTGGAAGACAGAAACTGAAGTCGAGAACAGAGTAGCTAGAGAGCAAGGTGGTGGGCAACATACAGGTTTGTTCGGGAATGGAGAACAGATGCTAATATGGGACTAGTTCAGGATAGAAGTCCTTACATATGTTCTCTTGTAAAAACGATAAGGCAAAATGTTCAGTCGTAAGTTGTCACCTGTGCTGTAGGACAACTCTGCAAGGAACAGCCTGAAAGTCAGAAGGAACAGTAATATATCAGCCCTCAAAGGAGTGGTCGCACTGTATGTCAGCACCAATCTCTACGTGAATCCAACCAGAAGAGTGAGAGCTCTGAGCCAACAAAGCAGGGAAATACACGCAGTGGTATAATGCAAAGCATGGGAGGAGTCTTCAAAGAAGTTACATGTGTTCTTAAATGTGTGTGCATGAGATCAAAACTGGATTGTGAGTAATCAATGGCAGCTTTCTTGCTGTTTGAAGAACGTGATAGACAAGCAGAGATGGTGTGTGTGCCCATATATCCTCAGAGATCAACCCACAGAGCTTTGGATGGCTTTTTTTGCAACTCTGGTCTACTTTTGGGGTGAAACCCTGCAATTCTGCAGCAAGAGCAGTTGCAACGTTCCACTGAACAAAGGCTGCTGTGGATTCCTAGCCCATGTGAACCAGGGATATTTTAAATCAAAGCTTTACTTGCTCACTGATAAAAAGCATGCATCCATGTTCAATGTGAATTGATTTAACCATGTAAGTGAGGGGGAAGGGTTGTGGGTTTCAAAAACCCAAGAACAGCAGAATATTTACTCATCTCTAGCAATGCATCTGCCAAACATGTTGGTTCTTGAGAGTTAGCATGGGACTTCCTCTTTGTTGTTTGTTTTATCAGTTTTTTCTATAGAAATGCCATTTTTATCAGACTAAATGAAAATATTCTGAAATAATGCACATCTTCAGTGGATGAAGACATTTCTCACTCAGCCTATGTAATGTATCCCTATCACACTGGGTTTTTCTCACCTCATTACAACC